AATTGTAAATTGTTTGTTTTAAAATCGAAAAAAACCTACAATGACTATCAAGATTATTCAACAAAGTTCATATTAATTTTTTTTCCCTACCTTAAGAGAGATCGTCATTGGGACAGGGTAGTCTGATGCCTTGTCCTCAGGATGTACTGGACATGATGAAGCGCAGGGGAGGGAAAGTAACGGGTGGCGCTTAAATAATTATACTGTTAATATATTGAAAATTACTCCTCTATTATCCGTTTGATTAAAACACTTTTTTTAATCAAAATATAGCACTTAGAATTTCGCACAACATGGTATAGTTTATTTAGCAAATATATTCTCTTCCATATTTTTGAATCAAATATAATTCTAAACTAAAATCAAATAGGAAATTTAAAAAATTATCTTTTCCATATTTTTTTAGGTCAGTTTTTTCTTTCGTCTATCAATGTTGTCCTTGTTATTGCTTGGTTCCAATTCATACCTTCTGGCAGTTTGTTCCATAAACTATAAACTAATTATCAGAAATCAGCCAGATTCAGTGGGTAATCGTTCTTAGGTATGAATGCCTGAAAATGGTCTGTACACCATTTTTAACGGAGGTAACGTGTATGAATCCTAAAAAACTTTTGCTAGTATTCAATTGGAAAATTTAGCTTGCTGATTTCGTGTAGATTAGGCATGGGTTACTCTCTGACCATCTACCCATGGAAAAATTTTTCAAGAAAGGACCGCGGTTTTTTTCGGAAGAATTTTTCCGTGGGTAATATGGAGAATAGCCAAGATCGGTATCCGATAGCAGTGATGCGCACATTATTTTAAAAGGCAGTTTTCTTGTCGATGTCCATTTGGTCTTTGCGATGTTGACTTAATCTGAACTGTTCGTGGACAACCGAGAAGTTTAGAAAATTTGATAGAACATTGTTGTTAATCATTTCAATCGGTAGTTTAATTGTTTTTAATGAAATTACTTCACATAAATTGCAGTCATTTTTTCCTGATCCATCAGCATTTTCATAGTTAGTTTTTACAGCAGTTTGCAAGTCTTTACTTCTCTTTTTCCAAATATACAGAAAACAAGTTCTAAAATCAGTCATAAATAGATGTTTGTAGAGAAGTTCAAGCGCCATTTTGTCATTAAAATATGTCTTTCAATCAAAGGGATAATAGAGAAGAAATTTCGAAAATACTCACAGTATAATTCTTCATGGGTTACTCGTTAGTTTGCCCTGCTAACGTTTTTTCTCGTAGAAAGTCAATTGATATCGTTTACTAAATGCAAACATGAATCTTTCAAAACATATGTCATCAATGTAATGCCACAAACTCTGATAATTTCATGCTTTTGATCAATTCCATTAGAACGTATGTATGTGATTCTCATTCTGTTTCATCATCATTCGGTATGAACTATTTTGATGAGATTCAACATCTTTTGTCAAATTATAAACACGTCTAGCTAGTTACAAAAAAATAACTTCATCTCGAACTGCTGCTCAAAAATGATGAAAGATTTTGATTCAATTAAATGATTATACTCAGCCACAAAGAATCCCTGTTTTCATCGACAAATATCTTATTTTTGTATGAATATGCTACTAGTGTCATGTACCGATGCTAAAAATTGCAAGACATTGTATTAAAAAAAATGATTTTTCCGTCAAGAATGAATTAAAATGACACTACTTTTACTCGATTATAATTTGGTTTTTATACACAGATGATATTCTTTTGAACTGATATAAAAAAAAAGGTATGAACACTGAATGTAGACACGATTGAAATTTTTCGTTAGGTTACCAACCCAGTTCAAAGTCGACCTTAGTTTATATACCCTGACGACAGACAAGGGTAAACAGTTTTGTATGGGTCCTTTTCAGGGCAAGACAGGGCAAAATCACAACTTTCTTGTAACGGTCTCTGTGACTTAAATGCTAAAAGAAATCAAAATAGTAATTCGAGTAGAGAGAATTAATTAGATGTATTCTAAAATAAAATATAAGAAAATCAAAACGATTACAATTTTCACTCATTTGTGATCTCAGAAAGTCAAAACACTTGTTTTTCAACAACTGGAATGGATAAATATATTGTTTTTTTTTAAAACTAAGCACAACGATAGAGCAAATATTTCTGTAAAAAATGAGGCAACGCAGTTTTCTACGACATTTTTTGTCATTGAGATACAATAATTTCATGGAACACTAAAAGGACGTTGTCTTTTCCTATTCTCTTGGAAAAAACCATTGGTTACTTCCATCTGATTGGTATATCTCAACTGAAAGAATAATTTTTGCAGCTATTGAATCTTTTTTAGATGCTGAAAGTTTTGAAGACTATTCTAAAACAGTCGATATTAATGTAGATTGATATAATGTACTTCGAAAAACCATCGTAGTTTTCAATTATATGTAGAGATGTAAGCCAAAAGATTGATTCGCTCCAGAAGCAGTTGAAATTTTTCGATGAACATTTAGAAACTTTCTCAATTTCGAGAAATTTTGAAAATGAAAAAAAGAAGATAACGATGGTAGAGAAATTACTTGTGAGAAACCAGTGAATGACAGCTCGAAAACCTAATTAGGGACATGGGAGATTTTTGAAAATCAAGTAGCTATTTTCTATCGCAGTCACCAGAATCTCCAGCAACTATTTAGGGTAACGGCGATGACGTCTCAGCCGATTAGCTTACATCTTCAGTCATACGTAAAACTGCAATTGACTTTTTTCTCGCTTTCTAACATGTGAATTACAAATAGATACTCTTCTCATATGTTAGAAAAAAAGTTGACTTTAGAGAATAGAGTATTAATACGATGGAAAAAAAAGCTGATTCAGTTCGTTTCAATATGCTCAGTATTCGATTTGATGAACAATGAAGTCAATCGAAATCGATTCTCTGAAAACTTCTCATTGTTCGTAAACAAAATAAAATGAACTTGCGAGATATACTGTAAACTCAAAGTCAATCCATGCTTCGCTATTTAGATATTTTACTCATAGTGCCATTGCTATTGAATTCATTCATCAAATGATAACCATGATTGTAAGCAAAGGACATCTTGTTTTTTTACTATTCTCCTATGACATTAGAAGCATTCTAGATATCATTCATACAATGAATAGGAATAATGGAATGTTTGGAATTAATATCAGTATTGATGTATATTTTCTTTGTTCAAACATATTTTTGAATAATGTATTTTATTGATTTCATATTCCATCGGCATATTTGATGTAGTTAGTTAACAATCCCAAAAAATCCATATAGTTTGTTTCTTACTCTTTTAATATATACTGTTAAAGCAACACTTAACCATTGAAATTTATTCAGCGATTGAAACAACAAAGATAAATCGATTATAAACTAGGACAACTTGACCCGAAAAAAATAATCTCAATTGTTTAAAAATCAACTAAGAATAAAATGGAAATAACAAAGATATTATCATAAAAGACAATATTATAACCATCATCGTGTTTAGCTAATCAAATTTGAAGATGAATATCGTATTGAATCAAGATCTCCATTATTCTTGTTTATTATATAAATACAGCATGAAACTGTATCTATAGTTTATTGTCAAAGAAACTTATCTTTCAGAAAAAAAATCTCTAAATTTTCTCAAAATATCAAATTCAAAGCTAAGAAAAGATCAATAATCGCTATCAAAATCTATTAATTTTATCTTCAAAATCTTTTTACAAAGAAAAAAATAAATCTCCTATCATTAAGTACTATAACAAACTATGATCATTTGTAAAACACATTTTATTATATCATTGAAGTATGTCAAGTGCTTGTGATTATAATAAACAAGTATCTGGTACCTGTAGAAAAGGTTTTTCAGTTCTATATAACCTACTACACCTGAGCATTAAGAGTTCATTTCTAGTTGTTGTAATTTTGGTATATTCTATAATGTGCTTGGCAATGTCCAAACTATAACAACTATCACTCTAATCACCAAGATCTATCTGCTCTCGGATTAAAAATGTTTCAGACGAGTCATACTCCAGAAAAGGAGTCGTTAGCTCTGTTTGTGTCATTTTTTCAATATATAAATGATGACAGAAATTAATTGTGTTAGACTTAATTCGTTCTTACTTTTTCTGCATCAGAAAAGTAAGATATTAATCAATGTATCTGTATGGTTATTTTAGTAGTCACCTTGATTTTTTTTACATTATCCATTGTAGCGTTACGCTTGGTTAGATATCAAACAACGGTCACATAGATATACATAAAACAACTAATATGTGATGCTTTGTTTTCTATAGATAACACGTTTTTTTTTTTTTTTGTGATATGAAAAATGATAAATAATCGTGATGAATATAAAAATCTTGATGATACATTATCAAAATCAAACGAATTAAATAATCTTAATCTAATGTTTGATAATAATGATGACGAGGTAAAACAAATTTTGACATTAACATAAGATTTTTCATTCGAATAATTTTGAAGAATAACACAACAAGATCATTACTTAATAATTCAAATGATGATGATGAACAATCACCATATGAAGAAGTTGCTGCTAATATCTCAAATAAAGATGATCCTACAATTTTATGTTTAACATTTCGTTCAGTATTTATTGGTATTCTATTAACATGTATTATGTCTATTGTATCTCAATTTTTTAATTATCGCACTTCACCATTAGATATTAATATTGGTCTTGTTATACTATTAAGTTATATGATGGGAGAATTCATGTCAAAGATTTTACCAGAAAAATTTTTTAATATAACAATAAATCCAGGATCATTTTCTATGAAAGAACATGCACTCATTACAATAATGGCAACAACTGGAACAAGTACTGTTGGTCCTATTGATATAATCACTGTTCAACGTATTTATTATAATTATTATGTTGATCATGTCAATGCAATGTTATTTATAATAGTGATGCATTTACTTGCATTCTCAATAGCAGGTATCCTAAAACGATATCTTGTATGGCCAGCTTCAATGATATGGCCAAAAGCTTTGATGACTTGCTGTTTAATACGTACATTAGATATAGAAAGTAAAATAGAAACAAATAAAACACGATGGAAAATGACACGTTCAAAATTTTTTTGGTTAATTGTTTTATTTCAATTTATTTGATATTGGTTTCCAGGATATATTT